GCTAGGGCTGAGGGCAAACGGCAGCATCAAAACCCTTTTGAGGTACCATCTCCCTCTCTCTCCCTCTCTTTTTCTGTCTCTAGTTTATTGAACACATAAAGAAATGAACTTTCAGTATATATGTAAATATTTACAAATGAATCTATATAACTACCTTACATAATTTCCTGGGATTTGCTTTGCAATAATCCAGAGACTGAGGCCAGCAGATTCATTGTGGTGAAGGTACCGGACTCCCACATGGCCAACCACTGTATGAGTCCTGAACCTGGCAGCTTGAAAATGATGCCAGGCACATGTGCCCGTATGCCCAAAATCCCGAGAGGAGAATGGAGGAGAAGGAACTGCAGCCTGGCCATCACCCTGGGCTGGGGAGTGATTTCTCACTTTCTCTTTCACTGTTTCTATCTCTCTCCGGTGAGCACACATGCCCTATGGTAAAAACCTAAAAAATAGCAAGAATCATCAGGATGATAATCCTGGGGCTAAGGGTGGAAGGCAGGAAGAGGCAGGTGAAACATGACCGGCCACTAAATTCACAACTGCCAACACTGGGTGACAGATGCATGGGGCTCGCTCTATTAGGCTTTTTACTTCTACATGTTTGAAGTTAAACATAACAATCTGAAATGTTACAGTCCAAATGAAAATAAAGAAAAGGTTTTTCGGGTATCAGCCAAAGTGGGAGAATCAGCAAGGAGGCCTCACAGTTGCAGGGAGCAAAAAAAGAAGGAAGAGCCTAGAGACAAGGAGTGTGGGCCACAGGCAAGGGGACAGGATGAGCCAGTCCTGGGGCTGTTTAATGCTAGAACTTAGGTCAAAAGATGGTTGGACTCCTGCCATACCTATGCAAGGCAGGGACATGGCCCGAGGGCCTTCATCTGGCCTCCATGGGCTCAGGTGCTTTGGAGAACTCCACCCCACCTGGGAGCAAATGCTATTTCCTGGCTTACAGGTACCTTCTCCACCTCCCCAACGTCAATAAAGCACCACAGGCTCCCGCTGCACTGAGGTCTCCCCACTGCCAAGGGCACCGCTCAGCACACAGCAGGTGCCCAACCTATTCATGCTTAGTGAATATGGGGTCCTCAAATTTCAAGAACCACCACCCCCCGCCCCCCAGTTTTCCAGCAGACACAGAAGAGAGTTCCAGTATCTCCCATTCCTAGGGAGGGAGAGAGAGATCCCAGCTGCCCAGAGCATTTCACTGCAAGTGGAGCCAGCACTGGGCTCTCTGTGGTTCAGGCCGTCTCCATCTGAGTCCTGCTGAGACAGAGGGAGGAAGCTGGCCACAGAGGAGGGGGGCTGAGCAGCTATGAAGGTGCCCTAGCCTCAGGGGGTCCCCAAGAGCTTTAGCTTACGCTTGGAGTGGATGTCTCACATAGCCTGTGTTGAGTACATGAAATTTAGTCACAGTGTAGACTGTAAGTAGGGGACCTCAATTTTTTTTTTTTTTTTGAGAGGTTTTTGCTATAGGGCACATGCACTCATCAGAAAAAGAGAGAGACAGAGAGACAGAGAGCGAGAAATCACCTCCCCAGGGGGGGGCCCTGCCACAATCCCTTCTCCTCCATTCTCCTCTCGGGATCTTGGGCACACACGCACATGCGCCCGGTGTGAGTTTAAGCCACGGGGTCCAGGACTCAAACCGCAGTCGAGTATATGGGAGTCCAGTGACATAGCCATTACACTAACTGCTGGTCCCAATAATAGTAATTTTTTAAAAGGCAAGTAGGGGGCCAGCAGGCAACGTGTGGGTAAAGTGCTGGACTCCCACATAGTCGACAGCAGTTTGAGTTCCAGACCTGGTGGCTTGAAACTCACACCTGGCATGTGTGTGTGCGTGTTTAAAATCCCAAGAGGAGAATGGAGGAAAAGGGATTGCAGCATGGCCATTTCCCCCAGGGAGTGATTTCTTGCTTTCTGTCTCTCTCTCTTTTTCTGGCAAGCACATGTATCCTACAGGAAAAATGCCTCTTTCTCAAAAAAAAAAAAAATAAAATAAAAAAAAGGAAAGTAGAATAAAACAGCCAAGAATCTGCACAAGTGACCCCTACTCCAAGCTACCCTCGTGACACCTCCACAAGAGCCCAGGATGATGTCCATCCTAACACATTCCTCTAGCCTGCAAACAGCCAATTTCTGGAATTCCTGAAGGCATACCATGTTCCCTCCTCATCCACATAACCTGGAAACCCAGCACGGTGCTGGTACATAGTAGGTGCTCAGTAAATGGTTGTTGCCCAAATCTGGATGAAATGAATCCTGAGACCTGGAATATAGACCTCAGGAAGGTAGTGCTTGGGAACCTGGAGGACATGCTGCTGGTTCCTACGCTAGCCTCCACACACTTACTTAACCTGTACTTAAAAGGCCTCAATATTGGGGACCAGTAGATGGTATAATGCTTACATTGTTGGATTTCCACATAATTAATCATAGTTCAAGTCCTAGACCCTGCGGCTTAAAACTCATGCTGGGCACATGTGTGTGCGTGCCCAAAATCCTGAGGAGAGAATGGAGGAGAAGGGATTGCGGCATGGCCATCCACGCCCCACCCCCAAGGGAGTGTGATTTCTCACTTTCTGTCTCTGTCGCTCTGTGTCTCTGGTGAGCGCACATGCCCCTATCGCAACAACAACAACAACAAAAAGACCTCTCTAAAAAATAAGTAAGTAAATAAATAATAAAGGGTCTCAGCAAAATGAGGACCATATTTCATTCCCTTTTTCTTTTCCTGGTCCCATGGAGGACAGATGAAGCCCCTCAAGCCATGCCCCACCCTTGCATGGGACCATGTGAGGCCTTCATCCACACAGCGGGTATGGGACCACCTCTTGGCCTCTCTGAGTTTGTTTTTCCTTTGGGTGAAGGGACCCATGCCTAGTATCCCTGGGAAACCTGGAGAACGTTCCCTGGCAGGCAATGGACAAGAGCCCCAGGCCACAGGCTGCCTGGCCCACGCAGCAGAAGCTGCAGGTGTGTACTTAGCCAGATGGTCACAAGAACAGTGTGGGGTCACAGGGCCTTGTGATTGGAATCTAGTGAAGCACAGGAGAAGGTGCTGGTCTCCCCTGACCCCATTGTGAACACATGCACTCTCCAGCAATTAAAAAGAACAAGTTAAAAAGACATATTAGGGGGCAACAGGTGGTATCGTGGTTAAGGCGCTGGACTCCCACATGGCCAACCATGGTTCAAGTCCTGGACCTGACAGCTTGAAGCTAACACCAGGTGCATGTACATGCATGCCCAAAATCTCAGAAGGATAATGCTGGAAAAGGGATTGTGGTGTGGTCATCTCCCCTGGGGATGACTTCTCACTTTCTCTTTCACGGTCTCTCTGTCTCTCTAGTAAGCACATATGCCCTATGGCAAAACCTTAAAAAAAAAAAAAGTGAAGGTTTAAAAATAAATAAATAAATAAATAAGTAAATAATTAAAAAATGAGAAAGGGCTTGAGAAAGCCAGGAGAGACCTCAGAAGAGGGCTGGAAGATGCCCTCGGAAGACTGAAAGCCAGTTCCAGTTTCCCAGAAGGGCAGCTGAGAAACCGAAGCCAGCGGAGCTAATCTGACATCTCCTCCAGTTCAAAGGAGGGTCACACCACAGGATTGGAGAAGTGGAAACTCAGGGTGACACCGAAAGACTTCTCCAGCAGAGACCACAGGCTACGCAGGCTATGCAAATGCCCCTGGCCCACCATGTCCCAGAGTGCTCTCTGAAGAGGATGCATGCCAATTTCTCTGACCAGAGAAAAAGGAAGACCCACAACCTGAGCCCCGCCCTCCTGCAAGGTGGAGGCCCTGCCAGCAGGCTGCCACTTCTCTGATGTGATTCCTTCACTCTTGTCACCAAATTGCCCCAGTAGGCTTTTGAGATTATGGTCTCCATTATATGGGGGTCTTCAAGAATTTCATGAAAAATGTGAATTATTAAAAAAACCTAAACATGTCTTGGCCAGAACCGCCATCTTCCAGTAATTAACCAAAATGAGGAACACAAAGAAAGAGGAGAGGCACCCGATATATGTTCTCTAGGCCTTTTAGAAAACACGGAGTGGTTCCTTTGACAACATATATGGGAATCTACAGGAAAGACGATATTGTAGACATCAAGGGAATGGGTACTGTTCAAAAAGGAATGTCCCATAGATATTACCACGGTGAAAATGGAAGAGTCTACAACATTACCCAGCATGCTGTTGGCATTTTTGTGAACAAACAAGTTAAGGGCAAGAATGAACGGGTGTATTGAGCATATCAAACATTCTAAGAGCAGAGAGAGCTTCCTGAAACCAGTGAAGGAAAATGACCAGAAAAAGAAAGAAGCCAAAGAGAAAGGTACGTGGGTTCAACTGAAGCGCCAGCCTGCTCCACCCAGAGAGGCACACGTTGTGAGAACCAATGGAAAGGAGCCTGAGCTACCGGAACCTATTCCCTATGAATTCATGGCATGATGGGTGTTAAAAATAATCTGTGATCTTAAAAAAAAAAACAACCCTAAACATGTATTTCAATTTTGGACACTATAAGCTCATATTTAAATTCCATTTTCCACAAATCTTGAGAAATGCCTTTCGAAGCTAATTATAAATGTGTTCCTAAGTTCCCTTATTCTGTGGGAGTGAGCATCCACCCCACAGACACAACAAGGATTCACGAAGCTCTGAAGAGAAACTGACTTCTGTCCTAGAGACACCCTCAGAGCCAACAGGGAAACAGGAGGGACAGTATGAGACACGGTGTCATCTGGGGCCCTCCACGAAAGTTTATCAAGACTTCAGAGAAAGGATTACAGCCTGGGCTGCAGACTGGGGAGGCTTCCTGGAGGAAGCAGCTCCAAATGGCTCCTCAGTGCTCATGTACAGACCAAGCTGGGTTCTAGTGGGTTTTTATGCTGAGCAGGTTTGTAACTGACTTTCTGGAAACTTCGCCTCAGTCTACCACGTTCCTGGCATCACATACATGAAAGGACAACCCTCAGGAGTCATGCACTTACGATGCCATGGCTCTGGGCCACTTTGCTGCACAAGTCGGGGCGCCACTTCTGAAGAGCCAGATAGAAAGGATTTTTCTGGAGGTCTTCATCATATAGAGCCATATGGACTTCAGGTGGATGAAAGTGAGTTTCCTGGGGTGAGGGAGAGAAAAGCAGTGAATGACCGCCTTCGGAGTTATGTGATACAGGAAAGTCTTCATCTGGCAGTTTCTAAAAAGCATCCTTGACACCTATTATCCTGTTCCACAGACTTACCACTCTGTCAGGAAATATCAAATGTAATCCAAATCCAAGATGACCTATTAAATGCATAAATTATGATTAAATGTATAACTTATGTCCAGAAAATCTTGTTAAACTCCAACTGATGGCAAGAGTATAACTGCTTTTTAGAACATCCTACTTACCAAAATTAGACATTCCAAAGACACTCATGTATTTTTAATGAAATATTTTAAGCACATGAATAATACAAACCTACCACCCCAAATTACCTGATGTTAACATTTTTTTTTTTTAGAGGTTTTTGCTACAGGGCATGTGCGCTTGCCAGACAGACAGACAGAGACATAGAGACAGAAAGCGAGAAATCACCCCCCAGGGGGGCTGGTCACGCCGCAATCCCTTCTCCTCCATTCTCCTCTCGGGATCTTGGGCACGCACGCACAAGCGCCTGGCGTGAGTTTTAAGCCACCGGGTCCAGGACGCGAACCGCAGTCGACTACATGTCATGAGTTAGTTATCTAATATCCTTTTTTTTTTTTTGGAGAGATTTTCACTATAGGGCGCGTGGCGTGCGCTCACCAGACAGACAGAGAGAGACATAGAGACAGAAAGCGAGAAATCACCCCCCAGGGGGGATGGTCACGCCGCAATCCCTTCTCCTCCATTCTCCTCTCGGGATCTTGGGCACGCACGCACACGCACCCGGCGTGAGTTTTAAGCCCCCAGGTCCGGGACGCGAACCGTGGTCGACTATGCGGGAGTCCAGCGACATAGCCATTATGCTAACTGCTGGTTCTCTCTAATAACCTATTTTTAACTTGGTTCCACCTTTTCAGTATTTCAAACAATGCTTGAAGGTGCAGCGAACGCCAGTAGCCTCGTGGGTGTTCCATTACGCTAACTGCTGGTCCCCCTGATGTTAACATTTTGTGATATGTGCCTCAGATTTTCTTTTAAGAAATGAAGTAAGGCCTGTGAGTAGCATGGTGATAAAGGCGGCTGGATCTCATATGGCTAACTGTGTAGTTCAAGCCCCAGACCTGGTGGCCTGAAAAACACACCAGGCACATGTGCATGAGGGCCCAAAATCCTGAGAGGAGCATAGAGGAGAAGGGACTGTGGCGTGACCATCCCCCCCATGGGGGGTGCTTTCTCACCCTCCCCACTCCTCAATCCGTTTCCCTCCAGCAAGTGTGCATACCCTACAGAAAATTAAAAGAAAAAAAGAAATGAAATATGTCAGAGTAGACCGCAATCCCATATGCCCCTCCCTGACCCCATTCTCTCTTCCTCTTTCAAAGGTAGCTATCGTCCTGAAGTTGATGTGTATCTTTCTTGCCCACATCTCTAGTCCTTTAATACTTACATATTCACAAACAATAAAATGCATTGTTTTGTGGGCTTTTAAAATTTGTGGTATCATACTGTAACTATTATGGAACAGTCCCTTTTCAAGTAGCATTACGTTTTCAGGTTCTGGATATGCTGAGCCATTCGGTTCCCATTCACTCACTGATTTCTGCTGTACAGAAATTACAATACAGTATCTCTTGCTACAGGGCGCGTGCGCTCGCCAGACAGACAGAGAGACAGAGAGACAGAAAGCGAGAAATCACCCCCCAAGGGGATGGCCATGCCGCAATCCCTTCTCCTCCATTCTCCTCTTGGGATCTTGAGCACACCCGCACGCACACACACGCTGGTTTAAGCCACCGGGTCCGGGACTCGAACCGCCGGTCAACCATATGGGAGTCCAGCGACATAGCCATTACGCTAACTGCTGGTCTCTTTTTTTGTTGTTTTTAAGAGAGTTTTTTTTTTTTTTTTTTTTTTTTGCTATTGGGTACATGTGCTCGCCAGAGAGAGAGAGAGACAGAACATGAGAAATCACCCCCCGGGGAAACGGCCACACCACAATCCCTTCTCCTCCATTCTCCTCTCAGGATTTTGGGTATGCACGCACATGCACCTGGCATGAGTTCAAAGCCGCTGGATCTGGAACTCAAACCGTGGGAGTCCAGCGCCTTAACCATTACACCACCTGCTGGCCCCTATACAGTATTCTTTTAAGTGAATATGTCATGAGTTAGTTATCTAATATCCTATTTTTAACTTGGTTCCACCTTTTCAGTATTTCAAATGATGCTAGAAGGTGCAGCGAATGCTGGTAGCCTCGTGGGTGTTCCTTGAACACACACCGTGCTGTCTCCTGAGAAGGTGACAAAGGGTGCGTGCACCTGCCAGTGCAGCAGATGTGGACGATGCAGGGCCACTTTCTGCCCCGTGAACGGGGCTGATTCCCCATCCTTCATCGCATCCTAACCAACACTTCTCTGTATCATTGGATTATTTCTATCAGTCTGTGCTATGGTCTCAGAGCTTGTACCCCCCCAAATTAATACATTGAAATCTGACCCCCTAGGTCAGACAGTTAGAAGGGGGGGGGGCCCTTTGGGAGGTGATTAGGTTAAAATGGCAGAGTCTTCATGGAGATTAGTGCCTTTAAAAAAGCCAGAGAGGGGCTAGCAGGTGGCGTGCTGGTTAAGGTACTGGATTCCCACATGGGGGACAGTGATTTGAGTCCCAGACCTGGTAATCTGAAAATCACTCCAGGTACATATGCATGCATGCCCAAAATCCCAGGAGGAGAAGGGACTGTGGCATGGCCAATCCCCAAGGAGGGTGATTTCTCACTTTCACTGCCTCTGTCTCTGGCGAGTGCACAAGACCCATGGCAAAAACCTTAAAAACAGGCCTGAGAGAACTCTTGCTCCTTCCACCATGTGAAGTTACGGAGAAAAGCTAACTATCTGTGAATCGGGAACTAGGCCCTCATCAGACATGAATCTGCTGCTTCTGGAAGAACTTCCTAGCCTGTTAAAAATAAATCTCCCTTTTTTTTCTAAGCAACCCAGTCTACCATATTTTGTTTTGGCAGACGAAATGCTAGAACACAGACTTATGCTGTGAGCATAAAGTAGTGGCCCAGTCGCAGGAGGACAGGCAGTATTCCCTTAATACTTTCTTTTTTTTTTTTTCTTTTTTGTTTTGCATTCATTCACTGTATATCATTACTGCATACAAAATGAGATTTTCCATCCAGAGTACACTGTATATTGTCTCAATCAAGCACATCAACAAACATGTTATTGTCAGCAAATGATCTTCCATTTCTTGTTTTCTGTATGTTTTGCTTTTTTCCCCCATCCTTGATTCCCTGTCTCTTACCCTCCGCCATCTCCCACTCTCCTCTCACACTGTCTCTGGTATCTATATTTGCTTTCTATACTGTTTTCCCCCCACATTTTATTGAATCACCAAAGACCCTAATCAATCCAAATACCCCCCTAGCAAACACAGGTGACACACACATTTCCATGAACACAAGTCTAACTTTACTCTTCGTATAAAGTAGCACCTAGCTGGGGCTACATATCCTACTGCAGTCATTGAATAGATATATTTTTTTTTCCTGAAACTTTTTTTTTGTAGCTCAATTTACATTCCTTCCCTAAGCATCATCACAGCAATATTCCCTTAATACTTTCATATTCACAAACGACAAAATGCATTGTTTTGTAGTATAATAACACTATTCTGGAACAGGCCCTTTTTCAAGCAATATTACGTTTTCAAGCTCTATCCATGCTAAAGCCACATGGGAAGCCCAGATTCAGGTCCCCTAGTCAAATTGGACATGCCAGACATACCTGTACACACCCTTGATCCTGGCTGGTTGGAAAGACGGAGGAAGGATCACAGTGCAGCGAGATCTTGTCAATACAGTATCTCCTGTATTATTTCATGAGAGAGACTCTCTCATAAAATAATTTTTCAAAATAAACTTTAAGGGGTCAGCAGGTGGCATGGTGGTTAAGGCACTGGACTTCCACATGGGAGAATGCGGTTCAAGTCCTGGATCTGGAGGCTTGCTCTCTCACTTTCTCTCTCTCTCTCTGGTCAATTTGAACAATAATAATAATAGTAATAATAAATCAAATTAAATAATTCTTTAGTAAAATAAGCAAACTTTTAAAAAGCAATATCTCACTGTGAATCATTTTCATTTCTATGACTAGCAAGGTCAGAAATATGTTACATGAAACTGAACATCATTTTACTGTATTCGGTAAATTATCATATCATTTGTCCACTGTAAGTGTATTTATTTATTTATTCACAGAGAGACAGAGAAGAAGGAAGACCCCTAATAGGGTCTTTTCATCACAGGCGTGTACAGGGAGACCTCAAGTCATGGCCTCAGGACTACAGAGCATTATGTTACCCCTGTGCCACCATGGCTGGGCTTGACCACTTTTCTACCAGATCATCAGACTCTGTCTTATGATTCATAACTGTTTACACATCTGGATACTAATACATGTTGCAAATATCTTCTCCTAGTCTGCGACTTATGTTTTCAGAAACAGAAGCTTTTTATTTAAATGTAGCTGGATTTGCCCATTTTTGTATTTTTGGTCAGTTCTTTCTGGGTCATAGGAAATCTGTGGTTGACATGCCTTCCCACTAGCAATGCCCCTTCCCAATGACTTGACCACCCTCTACCAGAAGGTGGGGTCTACTTCCCCGCCCTCTGAATCTGAGCCAGCCATGTGACTTCCTTCAGCCAATGGACAGGTCTGACTTTGTGTGATTTCTGAGTTCCAACCTCCAGAGGCCTTGCCCGCTCACTCTCATTCATTCTCTTGGTGCCTGAAGCCCACCATGCTGTGAAGAATCTCGGGTAAACAAAGACCATGGGGGGGTGGGGGGCTGTGGGAGGGGGTGTGGCCCTGTGATCACAGCCAACCCTCTAGCAGAACACAGCCACATGAGGGAGCCCAAGTGAGCCCAGCACAACCACCCAGCCGGCCATCCGCATAATAAAATAATAAATGGTGGCAGTT